TCCGAGCACACTCCTGACAGGCAGCCGGTGACAGGATGTGCTTTTCCGAGTTAATGAGAGAAAACATTGATTCTCCCGCTGCCCGTGAAGGTGGAAAGTGAAGCGGGGAGACATGTGGGGAATGAGCGAGGTTCCCTGTCTGGGGGTTCCAAATCTGCTGTTGGTTCCTTTCACCACTGAATAGAGATATACAGGGTGTCCCCCCAAAATGTATAAACACTTTGAATATCTACTAATTCCAATGGGTTTAAGCATGAAAAGAAACAACAATGGAGCTGTCATCTGTTAAAAGTGTGGGCACGAACAGGCAGTCGGACATTCCCCGAGGGTCCCGGATTAGAGAGGATGCAGACCAGACTGAGGGGCTCCCTTTCCCACCCACCCCCGAGCACCAATTTCATGCACAGGGCTACTAGTGTATCCTATGTAATAAAAACAAAAAGGGTAATTAAACTGTACCTCCGCTACGCTTCCTATTGGCTAATCAGGGCAATACGCAAATTAACTGCCAAAAAAGATGGTAGCCGGCAGCCATGCAGCTGAAGTGAGCAGGAGGCTTGCTTGCTCCAGTGATAGAGGAAGCCAAGCTTCCTCCCTGCTGCGGCTGGGCTCTAAGCTCCACTCTAAGCAACAAAGTTGCAATTATAGAAGCTAAACAAACCCCAGATACCTGCTTTCAGAAGGCCATGGCCTCAGAGCTGGAGCAGCAACAAAGTTTCAATTATAGAAGGTAAATAAATCCCAGAATAAAAATAAAAGAAAAAAAGAGAGGCTGGGAGCTTCAGTCACCAGTGGGCTTGGCCCATCTAAAAACCCTCAGCCCCTCATCCAGACTGGCCAGGAACTCCAGTGGGGACACCCTCTGGGCTTAGAGGTCTGGCAAACTTTCCTGCCCAAATCCCTGGGTTTTTTTTTACCTTTCCAGGGGAGTTCTGCTCTTCCGGGCTGCAAACCTTCTCCCCAGCTGAGCCCTTTCGCCAACTCGGGGTGGGTGCTATTAGTTTCAGCTGCTCACTCCATTTGCTCCGGGACACGACCTGGAACGCGTCTGCCTATAACGCCGCCATCTTCTTCGGCTCTCTCAATTAAAAAGTTTTAAAAACCACACAGCATTGGTAGCCATGGCGAGAACACTAGTCCTCCTTCAGAGCTTTCATTCTTCCCAGCTCTCTTAAGAAAGTCTCCGTCAGGTGCTAGGATGGCTCCAACACCTTCCCAAGGTTGGCCAACTCCCCTGTAAACTGAGGGCAGGCCTCGGGCTTAGGCCCTTAGATGCAGGAAAGCATCTGTGGGTATCCTATATAATAAAATGGTAATATACAAATTGACCCTAATAGTGGAACAACCAGGAATGACCGGTCACTATGACACACACTGACCACAGGGGGCAGATGCTCAATACAGGAGCAGCCCCTGTGGGTCAGTGCACTCCCACAGAGGAAGCTCTGCTCAGCCACAAGTTGGACTGACAGCTATGAGCGCAGCAGCAGTGGCTGGAGCCTCTCCCGACTCCTCGGCAGCACTAAGGCTGTCAGACTGCGGCTCCCCATGCAGAGTGGGCCTAAGCCATCAGTCATACATCCCCTGAGGGCTCCCGGGCTACCAGAGGGATGTCTGACTGCCATCTTAGGCCCAATCCCCCCGGGAAGCAGGCCTAAGCCAGCAGGTGGTCATCCCCTGAGGGGTCCCAGACTGCGAGAGGGCACAGGCCAAGCTGAGGTACCCCCGCCCCAAATGCACAAATTTTTGTGCACCAGGTCTCTAGTATATATATATATAATTAAAAACAAACAAAAAACACCCATGTTCTGTGTCCCCCACAGCCACACTTGGGATTGCCTTCCCACGACATTATTTCCCAGAACACTTAGCCCTTGTCACACAGACGCCTTCCTTGTTTGCTTTACTTTTTCATTCACTCTTTGTCTTCCCACACAACATATGTCCCACAGGAAAGCAACTTTTCTGATTTTCCTTCAATGTTCACCACATGCAGAAAAATTGTCACACACTGGCACACAACTAATATTGGTTCATGAATGGTCAGTGTAGAGCACCTCCCTATGCTAGTGACACGTCTTAATCAATGTGGCCTCAGACCACAGCTGTCCTGTGGCAGCTACAGCTCAGCGAGCTCTCACATTGATATCAGGGCACCTGTGCTTCCCACAGAGCGGCTCTCCCTGAATCTACAGTAGGCTCTGCCTCAGAAATCCCAGGGTTCCCACTGCAGCCAGCGCTAGAGGGAAGGGCAGGGAGAGAGGGTGGGCGAGCAGAGCAGAATTCAACAGGAAGTTATCTAAGATGACCAATTACAGGACCCCTCCTCCCTCCTAATGCCAGGACCTGGTTCCTTGGAGAGTTTAGGAAAAGATGGAAAGAATAATCAATTCCTAGAAGGAGCCAAGAGCAGGATGAGACTGAAAATTCATCTCTCCATACCACGGACTCTTGTGTGCAGGGACCCCTGAGCCTTGTGGGCACAATGACAGACAAGTCACATCTGGCTGATGCTGGATAGGGGACACTCAATAGAAGGATGAGACCAAAACTTATAACAAGAATGCAAACAGGCACAATCCTCTCCACAAAGAAACAACAAATAAAGTCCCAGAAGATGAGGGCTGAGGACAGGATCCAGGCCTGAGCCTAGGCTGACCCGGACACAGGAAGGCCTCGCTGCCCACGGGTTTGGAGATGTTCCTCATTAGGACAATGTACAAGGCCTGGGCAGGTCTGAGTCCCTGTGATGAAAAGTCCTGGTGGGACAAGGTTCTACTGAAGGGAGAAGGACAAAGGAGCAGAGAGGTGACCCAGCTGAAGAGACCAGGGAGCCAACTGGGCACAGCCCTGACCGCACTCGGTCCTCACAGCCTCTCCTGTCCCCCCTGCAACAGCCTCAGCACAGCAAACACACAGGACCTGACAAGTTCTTGGTGCTTCCATTTATTTCCTCTCAAATTTTAGGATCTTCTCCTTTAATTTTCCTTTTTAATATGTTTTTACTAGAGGCCCAATGCACAAAACTCATGCAAGGTGGGGGGCCATAGCCAGGCCTGCAATGATGCCAGCATCCCTCACCAGGGACTCCGGCCCAAGGCCCCTCTCCTCCCTTCCTTTGGCGTGGATGCTGCCTTGCATCACAGTGAGCACAGCGTTCCTCGCCATGGACTCTGGCCCAAAGCCCCTGCCATCCCTTTCCCCAACCCGGCAAGAGTGCAAACACTTGGCTTGAGTCACTATAAGCCCAGCGTTCCTGCCACAGGCTCCAGCCCAAGGCCCCTCCCATCCCCTCCCTCCACCGGCTGGGGCGCGGACGCTGGGCATCCCTGGAGGTGGACTCTGCGAGCCCAGCTTTCCTCCCTTGAGACTCCTGTCCAAGACCCCTGCCCTCCCTTTCCTCCGCCTGGCCGGTGAGCAGATGTTGGGCTCCTGTCACTGCAAGCCCAGCATTCCTCACTGCGGACTTCAGCCCCAGGCCCCTCCTTTCTCCTCCCTCCACCCGGCCAGGGCACGGAATCTGGCCCTTCCCCTCCCCTCCTTCTGCACAAACCCTGGGCTCATGTCACTGTGAGCCCAGGGTCCCTTGCTGTGGAATCCACCAGCCCGAGGCCCCTCCCTTTCCCTCCCTCCACACAGCCAAGATGGATGCTGAGCTCACGTTGCCCGGCTTCTGGGTCTTCCGGGGCCAGGCTGCCTCACCAGGTCAGGGGGCCGGGGCCAGGTCCAGTGGGCACCTTCGCTGGTGAGCTGCCACTGATCTGCCTACTGTATGCAAATTAGCTGTCATCTTTGTTGGCAGTTAATTTGCATATCACGCTGATTAACCAATGGGAAGTGTAGCGAAGGTATGGTCAATTGACATGTTTGTCTATTATTAGAAGGATTGATTTTCAGAGAGAGGAAAGAGGAGGGAGAGGCAGATGGAAACATCAATGATGAGAGAGAATCATCAATTGGCTGTCCCTTGCATGACCCTGGTGGGAACTGAGCTGAAATTGGGGCATTTGCCCTGAAAGGGAATCCAACCATGACTTCCAGGTTCCTGGGTGGACATTCAGCCAATGAGGCACACCAGTGGGCTGTTCTCCTTTAAGGAACCCATCACCCCTTCATGGCAAGAAGTGAAGAAGAATGCAAATCCAGACTCTTATTTCAATCAGGCAGTAAGAAGCTGCAGCTGAGCGCACCAGGAAGTAAAAACAGGAATGGGGAGGGCCAGTCCCACCTCTACTGGACAGGAAAGGCTGGGGAGGGGGTGTGGCGGGAAGGGGGGGGGCCGCCTCCCCCCTCCTCATGTTATGCTGATAGGAACACACACATTCAGATGCCGTTTGCAGAAAGAAACCAGAGATTCTTTTTTTTCTCAGTGTCTGGGTTTAATTGTTTGCTGAATGCCCAACAGAGAAGAGATTTGCAGATACTCAGCTGTGCAGAGAGGACAGCAGAGAAGCATGGATGGTGGCATGATTTCCTTTAAATAAATGCTACATACAGTGGCTGGCAAGGTGGGGAGGGGCGGCCTACCCGGGACCGCATGGGGTGTCGGAGTGCCCTCCCCCTCATCGAGGCATGGGATGGGGTGTCAGTGGTCATGATCAGAAGGGTTTTGTCGAAGAGCCCCGCCAGGCGCTACCATGATCTGGCCTGGCTGGGATGTTGGAATTTCTGGAAGGTCAATGGTCTATAACCTTGAGGGGCCTCCACTGCCCTGGGGTCCTAGGCGGGGCACCTAGATGACCTTCAGCTCCTCCTATAAGACCAGCATGAAGGCCCCGCCCATGCCCCTCAGGACGTGGGACCAGGTGCCCTTGAAGAAGGCCTTGCCACCCTCGTAGATGGTGCCGGTGTACATGATGTCAGCTCCTTTGCGCCCTGACTGCATCATCATCTGTCGCCACCCAGAGTCAAAGGGGTAGACACTACACCCGCTATGGCCGTGACCGACTTGGCGATAATCCAGCTGATGATGATGGGGGTGTTCTTGGGGTCGGGGAGCATGCCTTTGGCCGTGTCATACACCCCGAAGTAGGCTGCCCGGTAGATGATGATGACTTGAATGGAGACATTGAAACCGTGGTACATGCCTGGATGCTGTCCGACTTGGTGATGTGCACCAGGCAGGGTTCCAGGCCCTTGAACTGGTGCTCGGCGCCCGATTTCCCCACATCAGCCACGAGCCAGGTTGCCCTAGAAGTGCCTCCAGAACTGGGTGTGCCTTGTCCGTGCCTTCTCACACCACTTCGTGCTGGTCCTCACATGTGGAAGTCCGTGCCCCCCAGGAAGACCTGCTTATACTTATTTTTGAAGGCAAAGTTGAGGGCTTGGGTGGGGAAATAGTGGATGACATTGGCCATGTTGCCCCGACAGAAGCACAGCACGCCCTGCTCCTTGGGGATGTGCATGATGCAGTCCATGATGTCCTTGTACTGCTTGTTGGAGGTGCTCTGCTGGCTGGCATGTTGCACCTGCAACAGCAGCTTGACCCGCTCCATGGGGCCATGGCCATCTTGGAGATGGCGGCGGCAACCCCTCAGGCCAGGAAGTCCTTGAAAAAGGAGATGGCTGGTTCAGTCCTGGCGGCTAGGCGCAGGGAGCCTGCGGCATGGAGTAGAGCTGAGTGGAGGCGCTGAGAGGAGCCTGGAGTGTGGGTGCCGCTGACTCAGTGCTGCAGCTGCGGCGGGACCGAAAGGACGGGGAACCTCAGAGGTGTTCATATCTCCCATCTCTCAATCCCGGACAAGTGCCTCATGCTGTGGAAGAAAATGATCATGAACAAACTCAGTTCAGTGGCTGTAAGTAGTGACATTCTCAACAGCCCACCACAGGCTCAATATGTCCCACAGATCCCCCATTCCCCAGTCCTCTCCCTTTTGCCCCAACACCTGCTATCGTCTAGGGTCTCACCTTTAGAAGCCGTGAGAGATACATCAGAGCCCTGGGCACCATTGCTGCCTGAGGTAGAACAAAACAGGATGGGGTCAGAGCACCCAGGAGAGGAGACTAAGGGAGGAACTATGGGGGTGAGGTCCCTCATGGGATCCAGTCTGTACTATCACAGGATCTCAGGGGTCACCTCCATACTCACTGGCAGCCTGATCATAGATTCTTTTTTTCCCACCTGTGGGAAGAAAACATCCCATGAGATGACAGGGAGGAGGCAGGGTCATGAGGTCCTAACTTCTGAACTCTTAGTCCTGGAGCCCAGAGAAGTTTCCAGAACTGTGACTACAGACCCACTGCAGGATCAGGAAATCTGAGGAAACTACATGTGTGGGGACTGAACCAACCATCCTCCGGAGATCTGTCCTCAGCAGGGACCTTCCACCCTGACCTGGGAGTGCTGGGAACCAGGCCCCATCACTAGAATCATCAGGTGATGAATCTGTCCCTCGTTTCCACACGTGTCTTACTAAAGAGTGAGTGTCAGCAAATAGGGCCCCACACTGGGCAACCACACGTGTGGGGATGGTACTTGCCCTGAATGAAGCAGAACACACTTCTACCTGGGCTGGCACCCCCCAGTGAGACCCCCCAGTGAAGACACTCAGGCCCCACCCCTTCCCTACCTGAGTGCTTCCTCCTCCACATCACAGCTCCAATGACCACAGCTCCAATGACCACAGCTCCAAGGATGACCAGGCCCACAATGAGGCCCACAGGGGGGATGGTGGCCTGAGGAGGTGGCTCTGGGGAGGGAAAAGGAGGTGAGAGCCCTGACCTCCAGGTCTCAGCCCCGACCCCACTGAAGTCCTCCACAGGACCCTGCTTCCCTGAGACCAGGCTCTGTGCCCCCGCCCCTCCTCACCCCATCTCAGGGTCAGGGGCTCGGGCAGCCCCTCCTGCTGCACATGGCACGTGGATCTCTGCTCCTCTCCCAAAAACTCCTCTCCAGGTGGCACCCCCAGGGCCGCCCCCTTCTGGAAGGTCCCATCCCCCGCAGGCCTGGTCTCCACAAACTCCATGTCCTGGGTCTGCTCCTCCCCATCACGCTGCCAGCTCAGGCTGATGTCCGCAGGGTAGAAGCCCAGGGCCCAGCACCTCAGGGTGACCTCACGGTCAGAGATGGGGTGGTGGGTCACGTGTGTCTTTGGAGGGTCTGAGGAGAAGGGGGAGGAAATCAGGAACTTCACACAGTCAGGGGACCCCCAGCAGCCCTCATGTGACCACCTGAGCGTGGACAGGGCACCTGGGGTGGGCGAGGGAGCACACAAGCACCACCAGCCTGGACAGAGCACCTGGGGATGACCTCTCCTCTTTAGAAAGTTCTAGTCAGAGTGACACAGCCCAGGGCAGGGGGCAGGTCTCAGGGGAGAAAGGGATTTCTGGTCCTGTCCTGGGCGGAGGCCAAAGGACTCAGAAAAGTGGGGTTCAGACCTCAGACACACTGGGGGAGGGGCAGGGAGCAGGGCCTGAGGGATCACGTCCCCCATGGGTCCCAGAGCCACTGCAGGGCCAATGGGAACCGCTGCTCAGTTCCTTCAGGCTTGGTCTCCCCTCTAATTGTCCCTGAGAGACTGCACCCCTCGGTGTCCCTGAGAGAAGGGGGGGCGTCCCTGGATCTGAAAAGCCAGGCGGACTCAGTCTCCTGGCCCACAGGAGGGGGGTCTGACACTGGCCCTGTGTCCTGCCTCCTTGTGGAGCCCCAGCCCCAGGGCAGAGGGGGTAGGCCCCAGGCCCCTGGTACCTGCGCGCTGCAGCGCCTCCTTCCCCAGCGCCAGGTATCTGCGCAGCCACTCCAGGCACTCTCCCTGCAGGTAGTGTCTCCTTTCCTTGGCATCACCATTTTCCTCCCACTTGCGCCGGGTGATCTGAGCTGCAGTGTTGGCCGCGGTCCAGGAGCGCAGGTCCTCGTTCAGGGCGATGTAGTCGGTGCCATCGTAAGCGTACTGGTGGTACCCGCGGAGGAGGCGGCCGTCTGGTCCCATGTCACAGCCAAACAGCAACTGGAGGGTGTGAGACCCTGACCCCGCCCGGATGTCAGTCCCTTCCCCTTAGCCCCGCCCCACCCTCAGAGATGGAACCTAAACTGAAAGTGAAACCCGATCAAATCCCCGCGGGCTCCTCCCGGGTGTGTGTATGGGGGGAGGGGGGTGAAACTCGAACTCGGACACTTGGGGTGACCCCGGCCCGTCCGTGGGGATGAGGGTCGTGGCCGGGTCCCGAACCCGCCTGGCTCACCGTCCTCGCTCTGGTTGTAGTAGCCGCGCAGGTTGTGAAGGTTCCTTCGGAAAGTCTGTGCGGAGTCCTTGGCGTTCCGGGTGCTCCTGTCCCAATAGCCCGGCTCCACCTGCTCCATCCACGGCGCCCGCGGCTCCGCCCTCTGACTCTCGGAGTCGCTGTCGAACCGCTCGAGCTGCGTGTCGTCCACGTAGCCCACGATGATGAAGCGGGGCCTTGGCTGGTACGGCTGGGACACCGCGGTGTAGAAATATCTCAGGGAGTGAGGGCCTAGGGGCCGG